TTTTTTTTTTTTTTTTTGGGGGGGGGGGTGTATGACAAGCATCTCCCTGAAATGAGTTTTTGGAACTTGGGATGTCTGTCTGTGGTACTGTTGTGTTCAAAGCCTCACCTGCCCAGCCTGTGTAAGTCGTGCAGTCTCTTGGATCAGCAGATTTCAGCCCATTTTCCATAACAGCTAAAAGTTCGCTGATCTTGCTGCTCACTCTTTGGGAAAACTCAGGTGTAAGCTGAAAGAAAAAAGGAAATATTGAAGTAAATGAGCTGCAAACATTTAGCAGCAGCATCCCCCTCCATCTTTACCTTCCCATGAGAATCAAACAGCGCCTGTGTGGAAGCTGGGCTCCCATCATAGTCATGATAGGGATTCCTCAAGGCTCTTGTGTCCATTTTGAAAATCTAAAGAACAGCTGGAAGCTGGGTTTTTTTTCTTATCTGATTCGAACAAAGACATAAAAGAAAAATATTCGAGAGGAAAATGTGGATTAAACACTTAACACATATGTACAGATACAGCGTCGGGTTTCTGCGTAGAGCTACACGCCCACATCATACAACAAGCTAACAAAGCTGCTTCTAGTTAGGCTTAGCCACGAAGCTAATGCTAGCCGTTAGCGTGAGCGGTGCTGGGAATATTGGAAAAAATGCGATAAAAAACATTTACACGATATTTTTGCACACGTAATACGAAGAAGAGAAAGTGTAGAGTGTATTCACATGGGAAGGGACCCTACAGAATCCGTGGTGTCGCTGTTCAGCTTCTCTGTGTCGTAATGTAGCTCCTCGAGGGCTAGCTCGCTACTGGCTACTACTGCAGAAGAAGAAGAAGTGCAGCTCGGCCATGTGACCGCTTCTTCTACTAAAGAAGCAACAAAAAGTCTAAAAAATAAAATAATAAAATATAGCAAGCAGAAAAATATTATTTTTATATATATATTTAAAAAAAAAATAAGTATAAAAAAATATTTCACCACAACATGATGCCAAAATCATACAGCAAACTGTTTAAGCCTAAACCTTTTAACACTCATTTTTATAATTAAATTAAATTCAAACTCGGGAACCAGTCCAGTGGATTATTTTTAATTTTTTCATTTTGTGGGGAGTTTTAATTAAATGTATTAATTTGTATGCCTTATTTAGAAAGATGAAAAAAAAAAAATAATTATTATTATTTTTTTTTTTTTTTTTCAGAAAATAAAAATAAAAGCACCAGATATGGGCATTAATTAGTTACATTTACTCAGGTACATTTACTTGGGTAACAATTTAGAAAAAAAAGGCACTTTTGGGAGGTTTACTGTCGAGTACTTTTTACTTTTCAAAAGTAAAATCTCTATCAGAGACTCTGTCCTCTTTGATACTTAATTTGAAATATTCCAGAATCAGCTAAACATACTAAACAGTAGTTATAAACAGAGGAAGTTCATTATCCCAATATATAACATTCTAATTTTAAGGATTGGTTTTCTAAGTTTTATTTTGAAAAAAAAAAAATAGGTGGAAGCATTTTTTTCTTCGGCAAGTATTTGTTCTTTTATATTCATGACATAATTGTTTTTTTCATAAATGCATTTGAGTCTTTAAAATGCCAGAACTTGCAAATTAGGTCTGTTTGCCAGCATTTTATAAACCTTAACTAATGTTATTGTCCAATAGTTACTCAGTACTTAAGTAGTCTTTCTACCTTTATTTACATTTACTTGAATAAAAATGTTTTAAAGTAGTGCTACTCTTACTTGAGTACAATTCTTTGGGTATTCTACCCACCTCTAAGCGTCAAATAGGATTGGAAACAAACCTTAAGGTCTCTGGAACAAAGTCACTCGTTGGGCTATATTTAGATTAAAATTTTGAGAATCGATTTGATAACAATCCTGAAAATTATTAAATTAAATCTTTCACCATTGATCTGACTCCATCTGCATGATCTTAAATTGGATTGCTCATATTTAAAACCTTTTGAGCGCTGTTATTTGAATTAACATTTAACAGCAAATTACGAAAGTAATAGTCGTATAGTGGTTCAAAGTAAAGCAGATTTTTTTTTTATTAATTGATGTTAAGGAATTATAATGAGAATCGATTCAGAATTGAAAAATTTATTTTATTGAGACAGCCCTTGTTACTTGGATGGAAAAGCATCACAGCAGCAACATTTGGATACCTTTTTTCTATGAAGAGAATTTTATTTCACGATTGCAGTAAACAAAAAGAGTGTTTCGTATACCAAAAAAAAAAAAAAAAAAAAAAAAAACTATCCAGAAATGAAACTTTTAAAAAGCTAAAAGCAAGGTTTGAGAGTAACTTCATGTTTTTTTTTCTGTTTTTTCCCCCCAAGATATATATATATATATATATTTATTAAATTCTTTCAACATTTCTTAAAGTTTCAGTACATTGGTTTAAATGTACAAAGCTTCAAATGAAAAGATCTGTGAAACACAAACTGGAAAAAAAAAAAAGATTTAAACAAAAATGCGAACAAATACTTTTGAAATGATAAACTGCAAAAAAAAAAAAAAACTTGGAAAAAAATCTAAGGATAAATAAAAAAAAAATTGGCAAATTTTTTTGGATCGCATTTCAAGTATAAATTTGCAAAATCAGCTCTTTGCATTGAACAATAATGGAACAAAATTCATGCCATACTTTTCCTTGTCTGGACAACCTTGAAAAAGAAAGTAAGCATATATAAAAATTATTGCATTCCCAGAATGACTCCCCTATTTGTGTTCTACCTTCCTTTCTTCTTTCTTATTCTCTTTCATCGTTAATTGCTTCCTTTCCTTGTGACAGTTCCTTCTGTCCTACCTTCCTTGAGTTTTTGTGAGAATTTGCAAGAACTTACCGTTCATTTCTCTTTCTACTATTTGTTGTACCTATCTTTTCCTCTTATATTTCTGTCATCCATACCTTCCTAGTGCCCTGCCTACTTTATTCATTGTGAACTACCCCTTCCTTACTTCTTCCTGTTCCATCCTTTTTAGCATCTTTAAATCTTCTTGTATTAGTTGTTTCCTTCCTCTATTACTTTTTTTTTTTACTTTCCTCTTCTCCTATCTTCCATTTCTTGGTTCCAATTTTTTACTTTCCTTTTGTCCATGTTTTCCCTTCCTTGTGTCCTACCTACCTTACATTCCTTACTCTTTCCTAGTGTCTTCCTTCTTACCTTCCTTCTGCCTTTCTCTAATTCTGTCCTTTATAACATTCCTTTATTTTCTAATTCTCCCTTTCTTTCCTTCTGTCTTTCCTTGGGTCCTACCACCTTTTCTTTTGTTCTTTTTTCTAATGTCCCTAAGAAGACTCAGATTTTGTATTTGTATAAAATGACTGCTGCTTTGAGAGGTCTGGAAGTTTGAGTCTTAGACAATGAGTTTTTTTAAGCATGTTTATGAAATGTTTTAAAGGATGTGGCTTTAAATAACAATGATTAGAACATTTTAAATACGTTGGCTGTTTCCTGATAGAAATGCAAGTTCATCAGGCCTTGAACTGTCAAGCTTTGACCTCCTGTGACTTCTTTTCATGTTCCTCGAATTCAGAACCGTCTGTTGCACTTCAGTGCTTCCCCAGTCTTGATGACTCGGGCGACCTTGCCTTTTGAAAATCGCAAATAAAGCTGGCAATTAAAACTGTTCAGGTTTGCTTCCATCATCACCGTCAGGCCTTTTGTTTTTCTGTTTACCTGTCTGCCTTTTTATGTTCATACATTATTTCCACATCAAGTGGTCGGGTGTCTGCGGGTGAAGGTCGGTCAGGCTGTGCAAAGCGCGATTTGGACAGCCTGACATTGCCTTGAGGGACGTGAAATGGAAATGAGGCTGAAAAATGCAGCAAAATTCAGTGAGAGACCTTCGGGTCTGATTGGAACTTCTCTTAGGGAGACATTTTTAATCTCCAGCGGGTTCATGATGAGGACCTAATCATTTTTTTTTCATCAACAAGGAAATTATCATGTCATCAGCATAGAAAAACGCTTGTGCTTTTCGATACACCTCTGGGTTTTCGTCTCAGATGTTTAAAGCATTGGCTAATGCAGGATGTGATGAAACATTACCAGAACATTAAGCAAACTTTTAAAAGCTTGACAAATGAAGCTTCCATGGGGTATCTTCATCAATCTCCTTTGTTAACAGAATTATCTGAGGTACAATCTTTTATTTTTCAAACCAAACTTACCCTCAGAAGAAACATCATTGCGTGACTTCTGAGTCCCATAGGTTGCTTAATTTGGCTTTGCCTTTCAAAAGCTTGACTGATGTTCAGCATTGTTTGCCTTTGTTTGCCTGCTCTGTTAATGATCTACAAACGATTCTTTCCCACTGATAATTCTCGGTTAATGCGTGTTTTTCAAACATGGTTTAATCCGCTAACAATCTGCATTTGGTTCCCTTCCCATTGGCAGACAAGCTTGATCTAGTCTCCTCGCTGGCAGGCTGCGTGGCCTCTGTCCCCCCGCCGCTGCATATCTGGTGACACCATCACGCAGGATTGGTGTTGATGATGTCACCAGTAAGATAGAAATCAGGAACATCTTATGTATCTAATGTGAACAGAGTTGTTTCGGCTTGTTTGATCAGACAAATGGCGAGATTTTTTGACGTGCATACGTTGCACACAATGGTAGCACAGAAATTAGCGGGTCAACTGGTGTTCCCACTGCATAATGATCAGACCAATATTAAGGTCAGTGAGCTGTACCCACTAATAGCGATTGTTCCCAGGTTTAAACGGGTTTTTCGTCCAGTGAGAAAGGGGTATAAGTGTTAGGATTTGGTGTTGGTTTGGAGGACCCAAATGCAGAGGCAAGTAGGCAGAGGTGAATTTAGGTGGGTTTAATGAGGTTTACAGGAACTGAGGCAGGAATCAAAAATCCAACAGAAATAACAAACGAACCAGAACCAGGGAGACATCAGGGGAAAACCAAACTCTAGGAGCCAGGGAGAGTCGAGGAACGCAGACAGACGTTAGACGTGGATCCAGCAAACAGGAACTGAAGAAGGAGGGCTTTTAAAGGGGACAGAGACAAAGAGAGGGCTAACGAGGGGATTGAAAACAGGTGAGGACAGAGCAGAAAACAGAGCTAGGGAAAGAGGACACAAGAGGGCAGCAAAGGACAACAAATGGAAAACCAAGACTGTGACAATAAGACCTGGTAATGCCTGACCTTCATGTCACATGACCCAAAGTTTGGCAAAAAGAATTATTTTTGAGGAAAAATGTTTTAACTATGGTTTTAAAGATCACATTCTTCTGCGGCGAGCATTTGCACTGGGCTTGATATGAACAGACTGTTATCTGTAAAACTGCATTTCAAAGGAATCCAATTTGTAAAACTTTAAGTGGAAAAGAAAAAAATGTGAAACAAAATGGGAAATATAAAATATAAAAAACATTACAATTCAACAAAAATAAAATAAAGTTTGAAAAAATAGAAATGAAATCTGAGAGGAAGCAAAATTACTTTCCAAACCTTTTTTATTTTCCTTTTTAGTAAGAGTTTTTTTTATTTTTTTTTTCCAATTTTCCATTTACAATAAATGTTCTTTGCAACAAGAATTTTACAAAATCCCCCCATAAGTCTGAGTGATTGCTGCCAGTCAAACAATTGGTTTAGTCAAATATAGTTTATTTCAATATTTTGATACAAAATGATATTACATATAATATCTTTCTTAAAACAAAAGCTTAATTTTTATTAGGTTACTTAACATTTCAAAGCGAAGACATTTGTTTTGTTCATGATAATGATCTATCCTCTTAAAAGAACATTACCATC